AACCTGATCTGCAAGTTAAATACTCAGTAGTTTACCTCGCGGAAAGCCCAGGGGGTGTGAGGAAGGCAGGAGACGGCCGACGGTCCCCGAGGCGCCCGGCTGCCGGCAGCTCTGCGAGGCGGCCCCGGGGTGCGCGGCCGGCCGAGGCCAGCAGATGGTGGTGCGGGAGCGGGGCCGGGCCTCGCCATCCCCACAGACTGCCCTCGCGTACACACAGGCTTCTTCCCGTGACTACACCTCCCCATTTGCTTCGAGAAGCTTGAAAACATAAGCGCTACCCAAGTGTAAATACATATCTAGCATGGATTACAATTATAGCAGGGTTTCCGTGCGTTGGCTGTCACGCTGACTGCATTAACAGGCCATAAAATCCAGCCAAAGAACTGCATCTCCCATTAGAACTAATCCCGTAGCTTCAGTTTGCTGCCCACAGCATTCAGGCAGACCCGAGGATAAAACACCAGGGATACGGAACAATCGTTTTTCCTCATTACTTATTCTTATGAAGAAAAACACATACCTTTGAGGACATGTTAATTACAGAATATTGAAACTAAATCTGTGAGTACCAGTTACAGAAATTGCACTTAATTAAACTGTATTTATACTAAGAAAACGAGTACTTCTTTATAAAATTAAGGTAGGTTACTAGAAAGCTCAGTTCCAAGGAGTGACTGCAATGATGACCAGGGTACAAGCCAAGGCAGGCAAGTGACTCGCATTGAGCCGCAGCACAAATGCTCCCTGCGCATCTCAGCCCACTGAAAGAAACTGAGGAAAAATAAAGCCTGTTGCAAGAAGTCCTCACACAGACCACCTAGGCTACATAGTGGCACTGCGGGCTCTACTGTTGCACTTAACCCCACTGATAATAAATTTTAAATAATTAAACTCATGTTCTCAGCAGTTCCAATTTACATCTGTATGTATTACACTACCAGACTTTCCGGGCGCGGCCATACCTCCCTACAACGGTGACCTTCCCCTGATACTAGCCTGCAGCTCAGAGAAGAATGCTGTAAAACTCTCCCCATACTTCCTGCTAGACCTCAATGCTGAAGATTTGTTAGTGTTGGCAACAGGCTAATAGCTGCGCTTATGCAATGCTTTATTGTGCTTGTCTCCATTTTTCCACCAGCCTAATTCCTTCTCTAACATCATTACATATGCTTTGAGATTCCTACTGATTTTCCTTCAGACACACAGCTGTGGACTTTGCTTTTCAGTCACATGCACAGCGAGGACAATTCCAGACTGAGAAACGCCTATCTTCCTTTTTGGAAAGGAAATGCCTATCTTTCCTCTTTGGAAAGCAACTAGGAAGCACACAGAACTTCCGCGGCAAGAGAGGGGAAGCGCTGTGTGACACCGAGCCATGACTTTGCCCACTGTACCTCATCCATCGCTTCCTAGAAGCACAACACTATTAAAACAATAGCGGTTCTCCTTCCAACTCAAGGCACTCTGGGAAGGATGACAAAGTGCCAGCAGAGCCTACAGAGCTGTGTAACTCAAGTTTTCGATAGCAGCTTCCCTTGCTCCTTCTGCACCTCCAGGCATACAGCTTCCCCAAGGATGCTCTCTCTTAAAGCGTTTGAGATCTTGTCTGCACAGCAAGCAAGAAATGGACATTTTGAAGATCACTCCACTTAAAAACAAGGGGTGAAAGGGCTGGGAGGAGCGGATGAACACAATAGCTTGGTAGCATGCCATTTGATAAGTTTCCTTTATAGTGTCCACTCTGCAACCCCCCCAGACACACTAACTAGCTCTTTCAAGAACAAGGCGGTTCACATATAACTAATAACTAGTTATTTAGATTAAAGGTCTGCTGAACTGGGCCGAACCACTGACAAATAGAACAATATAAAACTAAGTTGCACTGGTGATCCTATTCAACCTTTTGGTTTTGCTTTATTAACAAATATCTATATTGGAAGAACAAGTACCTATTCATATGAGGAAAGCTAGCCAAATAGTCTCAAAGTTTAATCACTCTAAGCTAAGAATTTGTATGTACTTCATGAAGTCTTTCAGTCACATTTAAGATTACCTTAATTTACATTTGCATATCGTTAATGCATTACCCTGATGCACCCTTAGTTAATCCTTGGCACTTCGTTTGTGATACTTGGATTGACATAACACAAATTGTTCCAAGAGACGATTAAAAATCTGCAGGAAAGTTGAGCACTCATGTTAGAGATACAAGTTAAAATTCCAAGCGGTGTGCATGAAATAATCTTTTTTTTTTAAGCTTTTAAATTCCAAATTTGACCAACAGGTCCTTTCCTGTAGCTGTACAAACTTTATTATTTTTTTTTTCCCTTTGGCCATCCTGGTAGTAGAAAAATCAACTCCCCTATCTAGACAAATCTGTAACTGTATGCAATTAGGATGTCAAATTCAAACTTGCACTTCAAGCTTTCTTTTTAAAAAGCCAAAAATGACAAATTAGAATGCATAACTATATCAAAATGATTACTAAAACACTCTCTCCACCACAAATGAAAGTAAATAGCTTCTGCACTTAAATTATTTTTAGAAGGGATCAGTCCAAACTGTATAAAAGCTCAGACTAGATGCAGATAGTGACAATAACCCTAGTAAAGTTGCTTATTTTAACCACAAACCATCATTCATTATCTCATGCTCCCCAATCACTTCTGAAATAAGATACCATATGATGCAACGTACCCAGGTCTGATGATGGAAGAGCTAACAGAAAACAATTTTATTTTTAGCCTTACTCTGAAATCAAAGACACTGACAGGGGCTGGATGTCTGCCTGACCAGCACGGTGCTGCTGGCTCCTTCAAACGGGCAGAAACTAAAAAGAACAGAACACCCAAGGTGCACTAAGGCCAGGACCCATATTTAAAACTTAATTCCAGTGTGGCTCCCATTCAGAATAACCTATGCTCTACAATTCCACAACTCCCATTTAAAATTTGCAGAACAAAAGACAAGAAAAAAAATCCAACCCCTTCTTTCTATGCATTTCTTCAAGAGTTAAGGCTCTGTGAGAGGTACAGAATTCGGCAGTACAGTTATCCTCAAAGACAATTCCTGACACTGCTGCTCTGCTGAGCTGGACTGTGGCGTCACAGGACTCTGCCAAAGGCAGTTGTTAAGGAGAGAAATAACACAGCCAGGGAGCTCTGTTCCCAAACAGAAATCTAAGTACTATACAGAAGCTGCGACAGCTCCTTGCAATGACAGCAACAATAAATCTTCTGTATGGGAGAAGGTGCCAAGGAAGCTCAACCTGCAATCCATATTTCCACAGATCACCGTTCCTCCCGGACTAGGGCATGTTTAGGCACTACCAGCACCACATCAGAGAAGGATAATCAGCTTTCTCTTCTCAGTGCATTTGAAAACCAACTGATCTTTGCAAGTGAACATACTGGATGCGTGAACCATCCCAGTGGAAAGTATTTTGCCCCTGGAACCAGAACCAAACCAAAATCTTGAAAGCTTCCATCAAAACGAGGTCACTATAACTATTTGACAGAAGAGTTTCAACTTTCAAAACCCTACATCTTAACTAGTTAAAAGGAAAACCGCTAGTTGGCAAACCAGGCCCAACTTGTTGGCAGAGAAGGCCACTGCAGAAGATGAAGCAGTTTGATAGTATCCTGTGTGCACTAGTTCAGGGCTCTACAGTAAATGAGCTGAATTTTACTAAAAATGACACAGAGAAGGTCATGAACTGCTATGAGGAAGAAAGGAGCCTTTGACCAGAGTCTTGTACACAGTCCCAGAGGGTTCAGAACCTGTACTGTGTATTTCTCCTTCTCCAGTACTATTCATTTATTCACTGAAATAGAGATGGAAATTAAAGTCTGTTCATTACTAGAGAACATCCTCCAAATCCTCTATGAGTAAATAATCCTTCATCTTGGAATTAGTATGTTCACTCCTGCCTGAAACTAATGCTTGGTTTTTTAAAGCCATTTCAATCAGACAGTTCTTATTACTGGAGCTTTTAGTGTAAGAAAAGATTCCAATTTTAACAAAAGCAGATATTTAGTCTAGTTGGAGGTCTGTACACAGTTACAAAACCCAGCAGTCACTAATTGTCTGGACTTGGCAGATAATCCTAAAGGAAATCACAACAGCACTGGAATGCTGTTTGCTTCTGTCAATGGATGTGGACATGTGCATCTTCTTGGGGATAGGGGGCAGAGGAGGAGCTTTCACATAATTCCCTCATCTAAAAGAAAGTATCCAAAACAATGATGCCCAAATAAAAATTGAAATAGTTCTGTTAAACAGTGTCTACTTTCAGACATTTCTAAGGGCACTACTAACTGTTAAGGATGTGAACATACCAGAGTAAGAGTTTAAATGCCTAGGTGATTTTTCAATACAAAGATAGCTAGTGTTATTTTATTATGCCATGCACCAAGGAAGACAAAATAATATTACCACAAATGTGACTGGACAGCCCAGCATATGAAAACATAGATTATCAGCCGACATGATGGAAGTCATAAAACTAAACAATTCCCCAAAATCTCAAGGTACTGAACCAACAAAATAAAAAGCTACCATTAATAAAGAACATAGGAAGCTTCATGGCTAACTACTCAGTTGTTATACAATCACTAAAATGAATAAGTAATTTCTAACAGCAAAAAAGAAAACAAGTGATATGATAAAGAATAACTACCAGATGCAAACGTATGGAACAGCAGACAGGAGATTGTGCTTCCTCAGTCAATTCCACCTAGCAATGCCAGTTTTAATGGATGTGTTCCACATCCTGTGACGCAGCATCAGTTATACAATCCAGCCTCAGAAGTTCCCCCATTTACCCCACGACTACAGCACTTCCGCTTAGCATGATCACGTAAGCCTTTTCTTTAAGTTTTCTATCATTTTAATCAGTCTCTTAAGAAAACTTCCATCTAATTACTGCCTTTGCTGTTTGTGGAGCTTTGTAGACTGCAGAGATTATACTTGGTTAATACTGAGCATATGAAGTTTCTTACCTCCAATATTCTGGATAATTATTGTAGTTGCAACAAGGACCTATAAAAAAAAATGATTTTTTTAGAAAGGGTAAGGATAACTAAAATCGTATGTCTATAGCAGTCATAAACTACATATGTATTATCTTAAACAGACCAGATGTAAGAGCGATAACTAGTACTGAAAGGAAGGGTATCTTTTCTTTAGTGAAGAGTTTAACACATGAAAGCTAACGCAAACTAAAATTAATATGAAAGCAGAAAATCTCCCCCAAAAGACTGCATTTTCATTCTGACGTAACGAAAAAGAAGTTATAGCATGAAGCCTGTTCTGCAGAAGAGGTTTTTACATCACTGAAAACATGTAATCCCATTCTCATTGACATTAGGTGAGTGCAAATTAAAATTATCATTCACCTCTGAAAAGACTATCAGCCAGCAGAGATTTGCACAAGCTACTTCCTCACTCCAAAAACCTGAACATTTTTAACTATCATGAATGCCATTATTTTTTAAACTTGTAAACTACATAGACTTTTCTTTAGTATTTGTGATTATTCATACTGGACTGATGTCCCTGCCCATGGCACAGGGGTTGGAACCAGATGATCTTAAGGTCCTTTCCAAGCCTAACTATTCTACAATTCTATGATACTGAAGTAGAAATGATCACAAGCTATTAAAATATTTGTATGAATCCAAAGAATTAACTTCCAACTGAAAATAACAACCCTGAAAGTGTCTAAAGTTTTCCCAGCATTTCTCTTCAGTTCAGTTCTACAACAGTACAATCATCTAGCAGAGTTTTTACCTACTGCTGCTCTTGATGTAGTAGGACCTTCCTACGTAAATGCTACCACTAAGTCAACTTGGAAAAAATTAAGACACAGTTAAGAGAATAAAAGCAAATTTGTACTTCTGAATTACTTTTTTAATAGCCTTTTTTTTTTCAATTAATCAGCCAGAAAATCATGTAATATTTTAAATTAATCCAAAGTCAGTTCAAAAGTCATCAGGTTTAGGGGAAAAAAAAATAAAATAGAATAGTATGACATCTTGGAATTTGCCATAGATGGAAACAAATACTTTATGCTTTTGGAAAGGGAGAATCAGCCAACTGCCAATAGCAGAAAACCACCAATCTCACGAATCTCAAAAAAATATGTTTCACAGGAAATCACCTTAAGGCTGAATAACTGCTGTACTTCAAGGTCAGTTAACCAGTAGCTTTACTGTCAACCTAAGATTTCAGTTTAAATAAGGTCCTGCAGTGCTCTGTCTGTATCACTAGGAAACAATTCAGGTGAGGGAAGAGTAAGCAATACTTTAAAGAAGAAAGGAAAAAAAAAAAGCCACCTGTGCCTGACTGAGACAAGGAGCATTTAGGGACAGGACAAGAACTCGGAATGGTTGTGGTAAACTAGAAAAAAGTCTAAGAATCAACAGGATCCATGAAAAACAATGCATTCAGAAAGTGCATCTCATAAATATATGATTTATGACTTATTACACTGCAAATAGAAAATAGTCTGAGATAACACAGCCAGGAGCTTGAGGCACTCACAGAAACATCAAATCTTGCTTTGGGATGTAGTACCTACCAGCCATGTTCTATCTAAAACACTGTCAAGTTCTCAGATACCTTACTGTGTTCCGTTTCGCAGGCAAGTTTTAAGAAAGACCTACAGATGTCAGACACTTCAATAGAGAAAGGTAAGTGTCCCAGAAACAGTCATTCAGCAGGAAGATTTGGTAGACTTTGGTTAATTATTTTATCAACACAACAGCTTCCCAACGTAGAAATAATTCCCGTGCTTTCCATGCACACTGAAAATAAGACTGGATGATTTTTAGCACAAATTATTTCAACTCAAAATTATGAAAAAATATATTACAGAGAGTAAGAAAACCAAACTGATGTTGACTACATAGTGAAGCTGTGAAGTCTCCTTCATTTAAGCCTTTGAACAACAGATTAGACAAACTTTTGCCAGAATGGTTTATGCGTGTTTAACTCTGCTTCAGAGCGAAGGCAAACTAAAGCACATTTTAACATCTCTTTAAGCTCTACATTTCTATGACTTCTACATCTAATGGCTTGTAGCTACTGTGTACAGATTGGCTCCTATAAGAAAAATAATTTTATTTCATAGCTTGCTAATATCAACCTTTATTAGGTATTGCAGTTCACACGATCACATCTTAATTTTGATCGATAAATACTGGTCCTCACAGACTACACTCATACACTCATATCAGTTTATTAATGCTTACAGAAGTCTTACAAACACTTAACAGCTCACATTAAATTCTCAGTTACACTGAAACAGAATAAATGGTAGCCTTTTAAGCAGAACTACTTTTACAAAATGATATTGTTTTAGTAAACCATTAAAATCATACATCTGTGTGGTCAAATTTGCCTTTAGTATCCTATAACCGAAACACAGAGCATAGAAGCAATATTAAATGTGCAGCATTCATAAACAGCAATTCCTCTGCAGCCAGTATCACCGGACAATGCTGTTAGGAAAACCAGGCTCAGTACGCAGTACTAAAAAGGCTCATATCATACCAAAAATAATAGTTTGCTGGTGGGTTTTTCTTAATCGTGTGAAAACAAGTAAGAAACATTTATCTGAAGAGTTTTTAAACACAAACAAAAAAATTAACATGCATTAAACATACTCTTATTTGCTTCTATTGTGGAAGCTACACAAAAGGCAAACACTTATCTTAGATCCCTGTTAAACGCTAGACACTTACCTGTCTCTTAACAGTTTACAGGAGAGGTACTATGGGACTGTAACAAACCTGAAATGGATCGCTGAGCCAAGCTGAGAAAAATCCCAGTGAGCATGTATTTGTATATGCAACTAAAAAATGAACACACTGACAAGGAAGTAGCACAAAATCTTGCATTTAAGGAATGCCTAGTTTACAATTAACTAAAGTTTGGGCTTTCAAAGACCAGACATGCTAACTGAAACAGCAAAAAGCTACATAGCAGATTTTTCAGTATACTAGGATGTCAGCAAACATATTACTTATTTCATTTAGCTCTCTCTACTATGTTTCTGATAGACAACTATTCTTTGCATGAAACAGAAAAGAGAAACATAAAGCTGAAAATAAACACTCACCTTTCCAGGTGATCCAAATGCAAACAGGCCAAGGTCTTCATAAGAAGTGACAGCTGTTAGCAAATGAAAAACAGCTAAAAATATTTCTTACTTTAAAATCACTTGAGAGCTCCAGCTTTGATTTTTTTCCCCCTTTCTAAATGAATATAATCCAAGACAGAATTAAAAGAGTATTTTATGGTATTCTTTTATTTACAAAATAGCTTTTATATACACTTGTAAAATACAGCTATATGCTCATTCAGAGGCTCTTCAGAAACTTCACTGAATATTAAAAATAGTACTATTTAAAAAAAAATAGTAAGACATGGCAAACTACCTTCTCCCAGAGACGTTTGCAAGTGATACTTACTATAGGTGAAGAATTCTGAAGTTAGCCTCAACTACTGGATATAAGATATCCCCATATTTTATTTATTACACTTTTTTTTCAATGAAGACAACAGAGGATCAGTTTCCTTCTTTTTACTATAATAAACATCAATCACCATCTTGCAACTTTCAAAAACTTGGCAGTATTATTTTCAAGAGAGCTGAAAGTAAGCACCTTCCTTAGTTGAAATATATTAGTAAAAACAAAACACACCAAAGCAAACACAAAAATCCTTCCCTTAACTGCACCTGACTTACATAATCACATTAAAATAGCCTGTGGTTTCCTCTATGCTTTTGTCGAGTTTTAGCTGAAGCTCACTTCTAATATTGCTGGTAACTCAAACCAATCCCTCCTTAGAAAGAAGGAAGTCATATTAAAGTTTTTCATTGTTGCTCTGTATTTTGTTATGAGAAACTTAAGCAATATCAAAAAGATGAAAGTATTCTGAGAAACACCACTTACTTTCTCGGTATATAATAAAACAGTCCACAGTTGTAAATGCCTCAAAGGGTAGAATTAATCTCAAACTCACATGATTTTATTGCTGCAACACTTGCTTTCTCTTCTTTGGCTCTATTTGGTACAGTACTGCTTCTACTCCCATCACATCCAAATCTAGGGCCCTGCCCTGCAATCTGAGCTGCTGGGGGCAGACCTTCACACCTGAGTGAAGTCCCATTGAAGTAAATGAAACAACACACAGGAGACAGGCAGTTCACAGAGATCAGATGACAGGACTGGAGGCTCACACTGCCGACTGCCCAAGTTTAGGCTTTTTTATTTCACTGATTCTGCACACAATCAGAGCAATGCTCCAGAATTAAACAAAAAAAACCTAAACAAAGCCAACAGAAAACCTTCATTAATTCTCTCCTATGATTTTCTCATGGGCAATGTTTCATATTCTAGTCTACTACTTACACCAGTATGCTTTAACAAAATAAATGTAATGACAAAATTAAATGAGCCAGAGTCAGCTCTCAGCATAAACTTGAACTAATCTCTTCTCTGTTGTAACACTAATACAAGATGTAATTAAACAAGTACATCTTACTAGATTTCTGTTTATAAAATTGTTGTTCACAAGAGGAAAAAAAAAACAACCAAGAACAAAAAAGGCATTTTAGAATGCTATCTCCAATGGCATAAAAATATACATAAGTAAAATATTGAATGTACTGAGGAGAGAGTTGGTTTTGGTTTTACCACAGAGGAACAAATACACAACACACAAGTATGACATAGAAAAAATAGAACATTTTTTTCCACACAAATCCAAACAGCAATATGAAAGCTTAAAGTATTTTCTATAGTAATTCTGTTTTGGTAATCAGTTTAGTCCTGCGAACACTGGGAAGCACTAATGCTTAATCACATTACTGCTGTAATTTCAAGGATATATGGAACAAAATATTACGCACAGTTGCTATAAAGATAAACAAGTTCTGCCTGATTGGCTTGATTTCTGTTACATTACTAATGTTAAATGGAAATTATCCATTTAAATGCAAAGTGAAACTGGCAAGTAAGGTACCAGCAATATTCATGACTAACTCAAAATGAAACATAAAAGCCATGAAACTTCAAAGTACATCCCACTTCAATTCCCAATTCCTCTAATTTACAGAGTAAGATTAGCCTTCGACAGCCCAAACCCCAACACACCGTAGGTCATACTGAATTAACACCAGGAGAAAACATGGACTAAACTAACCAAAACCGAACACTTGACATTTGGCAATATTTTTCTTGCTACGCGTTACGGCCTATCCAGATCATGTGATTTTGTCAAAGTCCAAACCAACATAATAAAAAATTGAAGACACTTATTTTTAAAACAACCACCAAAATGCCTGTGCTCAATAAGTCCTCCTCTCTAGTTAATTCAGTATTACAGATTCATTTTTCAGAAGGTATTTTATAAGTCAGCTCTCTCCTAGAATAGGAGAATATTTTAAATTTTAAAGTCTGAATGAATAGTTCACAAACCTTTCCAAGGATTTTTCTTCCTGATCCTTTAAATTAGTCTAGCTCATTTTTTTAATACAAAAAAAATAAAAATCTTTCAAATTCATTGCCATGGTTTAAACTTAATATGGCAACATTGTTCTCAAATGCATGTAGGTTTTATAAAGAAAAATGCTGAATTACCTACTTTGGAAGCAAACACTTAGATTTTGCTTTGCCAAGGCACAACAGGTCATATATCTTGCTTTTTAAAGACAACATTCCAAGGAAAAACATGAAATGCTATCTAACATTGAATTATTTCAATCACTTACAGGAATTACAGAAAATATAATCTGAGAGAAATCTTATTTTAAAAGCTAAAAAAAACCCAAAACAACCCAAAACAAACAAAAAAAAAAAACCCTCAGAACACCGAAGGCCGTAAATCCAGGAAACTTATCTAGACATAGTTCTGGTGTTAGTTCTACCTGACAACATTAGCTAATAACTAATTACTAACTGTAAAGTCCTAGTTTCTTTCAAGAGAAATAACTTCATCCTGTCCTTTCAGTGGTATTCCTTGCTTTCAGTTGCGTGCATTTAAAAAAATGCTTTTTTGAGGTGGACCGCTGCCTTTGGACAACAATGGTGGAGTTAAACCATTCTTGTGTATTAGGTCTCCAAGTTCATCACACCAAAGTTTTCTTAGTTTGAAACATTTAAATCCTTAATTTCCCTGTCTCACTAGTAATTCATTTGCAAGGATCGCTTTATTTTAACAAACAACATACCACCCCTTCATGCCCATATAATACAGAACTTCTCAGCCTCAAATGAGAGGTGAACAAAGATCATAAAAATTTACCTTAACTTCCCCCTTTTTCTGCTTCTTGTGGATCTTTCTAGCTACCTGTTTCAGGTTTCAATTCCTTTCCAATAAGCAGAGCTCCAAGAGAACAAAAATTACCAAAGACTTAATCCCAAATCATCAAGCAGCCAAAAATATCAACCATAAAAGTAACCCTACCTCTGAAGAATATTTTTAAAGAATGTATGAAGATCACTCAACAGATGAAGACAGGAGCAGCAGATCTAAGAAGAATCAGGAAGCAATCATCTGAGAGACCAAAGCTATCTACAGAAAACAAAGCCAGTAAGGAAAGAAACGGAAGCTTTCTCCCACCACCTTTGAAAAAAGGAAAACAGATGAATGGGAAACAATAACCAGGTGACTGAAAGAGATGGAGACCTCCTGTTATAATGCAATCTTTGTGTACAAGAACTCAAGGAACTAGGCTTGTTTCAATTAAAAGAAGAATTAAAACAAATTCTCAGACTGTAGATACTAGAATCTGCTGTTTGAATATGCTTTTTGAATATAAAGCAGTGTAATTACTAAGGACTGCAATGTGACTTCTCATTTGGTATAAAAAAAATCCTGTAGAAACATGCATTTGTAAAGTGCCAGAATTATGATAATCCAGTATCATTACAAAACCCAAAAGGTATCCATTTCAAACCATAAACAATATATATACTACAAACAGAAAAATTGAAGACTGCTACTTTATTGCTCTTAAGCCTTCACTGAAAGCAACACACTGAAGTAGCACAAAATAATCATCAGCACCAAAATAATTTTACCACAGAAATGCAGGATCTATCTTTTTGGAAAGATGAGATAGGCATTTTGAAAAATAAATAAAAATTAGAATCTAGAAACCAGTCAGTCTGGCACTGACTTTTCATAAGAATTTTCAAAATCATATTTTTAAATGACAAACAGTAATCGTTGAAAACATTAAATATTTCAACTTCAGTGAATCAGAGTCAGCTATCTGGTAACATGCTGTTAACGACAGTAATTATACTGGGTCATATTGTGATACAGGTGAGAAAGTATTTCAGAGATAAATCCTTTTCACTTACCAGTCTGAGTGCACATACTGAGCAGAAGAAACACAGAGTAAGAAGCAAGGCCAGCAACAATCAGCAGCAAGATACTGAAAACCACAACATATTCACAATTAAAGCACTTTTATAAAACAATGCACTTTAAGAAAGCTACTTCTGCAAGAAGTAAGCTACCACAAGACAAGATTTCCTCATTTTATGGCTTATATCTGCTGACTATGGTTCATATGGTCTCTGACCTTCCCAACAGTTGCCAAGTTGCTTCTTGTATTGTTCACCAAAGCATGTCACACACTATAGAAGGTGAAAGCCTGACAGATCAATTACAAAAATAACGTAAGAGTGTGTCTAAACATACACAGACAAAGATTTACCTCCCAGTGAAGTGGATCTAATGCTTAGAAAATGGTAAAAATGACAATTCTGGTCACTTTGGCTCTGTTATCCATGGGTTAATATGTACAATAAGCAGAAGTGCAATCAGTAAGACAAGCAGATTCACAGTTTCCAGATATGCAGCTACCCTACTCCCGAAGGCCCATTTCTGGAACTAAAAGAGACAGCAACTTGGAATATAAATATTGATCTATTAACAGTAATGGCCAAGAAATTGCCACCCTGTGGCAATTTAATGCATTGTCTGGGCAGTACTTAAATTAGGCCAGAGTTGAATGACTAAACCAAAGAAAGAGGGGAAGATCTTATTCAACAACGCTGAAAAGCACAAGCTATTTATTTCCTCCCCAGTTTTTGCACAGGAGTCTTAGTAATTGAGTTTTGTTCCATTTAAAAATACAAGCCGAGTTTAAAAATAAGTATACGTACAAACTGAACACTTACCTAAACCCCACGATCCCTGTGTTGGCCATAGCATAGGATAAGCCAAGTATCCCACTTCCTATGATAGCATTCATTAAATTAAATACTGAGAAACCAAAGGAAGAACCACGACTTTGAGAATCCTGTGAAAAGTACAGAACAAAGGACAATTAGTGCATGAGGTGTTTTGGCCTTTTATAGGAGGAATGTAAGGGAGGGGAAAACAGTGAACTTTCCATTCCCTAACCTAAATCGTAGATACCTAAAGTATCTTTTCTCATTTCAAGACCACACAAACCCTGTGCATATGCTGTCCCATAAGGCTCTCAATACGTCTACATGCTGAGGACGGCGACACTAGTGCTCAAGAAGAGAGCAGCGAGGTTTATGCTTAAAATCAGGCTGTCCTTACAGAAGCATGGAGCACAGCAAAAGACAGCCCTCCCAAGCGCTCGGCAGTCAGGGATCAGACGGACCAGAAGCAGACCCAGGCTCCCGGCTTCACGGGCCCGGTGCTGCCCAGCCCTTCCCGCAGGGCTCGCCGGGTATCACCCCCTGGAGCCGGCCCGCACAGCCCCGTCCACCCTACACCGATCCGCCCGACCTTTGAGCCCGCGGAACCCCGCCCGGCCGCGATACCCGATCGTCTCTTTCAAGCCGAGCACGGCCGGGGCAGGCGGCAAGCCGCGGGGACCGGGACCCCGTGGCAGAGTACTCGGGGAAAGCAGAGCCGAGCCGGTACCCGCCGCCCCCCCCGACGGAGTGGGCCCGAGCAGTTCCGCGGCCGCAGGTCCATGAGAGCTCCCCCACCGCAGCGCCAGCCACCCCCTCACATGCACGCTGCCCGGCGGCAGCAGCGGGACGGACTCCCCGTCCTCGTCCGCCTCATCCTCATCCTCATCCTCATCCTCATCCTCATCCTCTGGCTGCTCGCGGGCTGACAGGTACCAGCCCCGCTCGGCCCAGAGCGGACCGGCCCCCCGCTGTGGCAACGCCATAGCACCCCGAACCCCGCCGCCTCGCCTCTGAGGGGAGCGCCCCCGCGGGGCGGGGCGGCAGCGGAGGGGGCGGAGGCGAAGCTCTAGCCCCGCCTTCTCCCTCGGCGCGGCCACGTGGCGTCACGGCGGCGGCGGTGACGTGAAGGCGTGCGCGCGCGGCTGAGCTCGGCATGAGGTGAGGGCAGGGGCGCTGAGGGGCGGTAGCTGTGGCAACGGGGAGGCCTCTAAGCAGGGGGGTCATGGTGCAGGGGGTCCTCTCGGCGGCCCCGGCCTCACAGCTTCCGGACGGGGCTGCGCAGCTCCGCCGGCAGCGGGCGACTCGGACGCTGTGGGCCTGAGGCGGTGGCTGTCAGTGGGGCTCCCCTCAGGGAGGGGCGGTGACCCCGGAGAGGCTCCGCCCCGGCGAGAGTCCCTTCCCCGGGTAGGGCCGCAGCGGCCCGCAGTCTCTGTGTGTGATGATCGGCGTTTTTGGTAGAGGCCGGGGGGAGCGGGTAGCAACCCTTCAGCAGCTCCCTCCTCCCTGATTTACCTCAGGTTACTCTGGGGGCAGAATGGGGCAAACGGGGACCTCGGTTAGGAGGGACAGGTAGGCCTTTCCATAATCAGTCTGGGAAGTCGTCTTCCGAGGGCGTGGGTGCAGTGACACCCAGCCACACTTTTATATTGGGGATTACCTAATACCGAGAAGCCTGTACGAGCAAGGCCAGCAGTTTCCAGCTATGGAGAAGGGGAATGTCTGAGGAAAAAACTGGGATGCTCAGGCCCCGAGATGAAGGATTTCTTCTCTGTAGCAGACATGAAGAATGTAGTGTTTATTTTTTGGCAGCAGAGAGGGAAGATGTGTGTTGCCAAAAACTTGACTTAGGGAAATGAGCTGGGTGATGTAGGAAGTCCCAGCAAGTAGCTGGGATTTGCAGGGGAGGGAGGATGGGAGTAGGGTCAGCTTTGCTAGGGCTGGTGCTCAGCTCCTTTTGAAGAAGAGACCATATGGCTTGTTCTCCTGAAGGAGGGCAGTGCCTTGTACATCAGGGTGTAGATGTCTGAGGCAGGCAAGAGAACCAGTTTCCTTTTGGAGCTAGTTTGCATTTCTCTTTTCAACCACCAGTCCTAGAACGAACTTTCCAAGAAGTGAGGAAAAGTGTCAGCCTCTCACAGCACTTAAATCATCAGTTCCCATCTAGGAGTACTGATGCCGGGTCAGAGAAGTCGGGCCCCTTTGGACCATGTCTAGTGTAGGAGCTATTTAAAAAGAAGCATAAAGCTACATTTCAAGTCCCCATTCTGTTAACTGTAGGGAGGAGTTCAGTTACTTGAACAGACATTGCTAATGCTCCTCTGTACCTTTAGGAGAATTCTGCATTTAATTAATGGTCTTTCTGATGTGCAGTTTGTGGAGCAAAGACACTGTGGAGTGTGTAACCCCTTAACCTGGAAGCAGAAATTGCTGAAGAGTGATTATGACCACTGTTGCTAATAACTGTTTTCTAGCAATCACTGCTTGGTAATAAATCTTACCAGAAACAGAAGGGATCCAACAGTAGGAATAAGACAGTAGAAATTTTTCCATTTGGCTTACTGGGCTTAATATCACATTTATTAGAACAAAGGGAGGTCATTGTTTTTTGGCAGAAGGGGATTATGTCACTGCTTAAAGTTAATGTAGAAGTCTAAAAGTACATTTGCAGGAGGACAGAATTCTGTGGTATATAATTCATAATAAAGAGCTTTACTAAACTATTGTGGATTGTTTGGTACAGATGGAAATTCTAGTATAAGAGAACACCAAATCCATTTGATTTGCAGCCTTTTTAATGGAATGATTACATAATGTCTATAAAATGAATAATTTCTCTTCTAGGACTTTATGGAGATTGGGATACTCTGCCAGACTACTAGAAACTAATAATTTTAGGACAGCTGCAGCAAATACATCATTTCCAGCAGTTTGGACACTGCTGGCTCGATATTCTGGCATAATACCTGGACTCTTCATAGTAGTTAGAAAAAATAGATTTTTTACAATGCCTGACACTGTGGAGGATAAAGCTGACCTCAAACTGTATTCACCGCATCCTGGAGTGCGTGGCATGACACAACTCAACAGAGAAGCTTTTAAAAGGACAATTGTTGTTCCAGTTCTGAAAGTCAAGACAGAAATTGTATATACTTTGTTGAAGTCCCTAAAACACGTGGTACTCCAGCGTCCTGGTCTAAAGCGAGTGGTTGAGGATCCAGGAGATGAGAACAGTAGATTTCTCATTCTGGATCCTCATAAAATACCAGAATTCTCATTGGGAGAATCGGAGCAAGAGGTATTAAACCAGCTTAACGTTCGTCCTGAGGTGTCCAAGTATAACTTGGAGCTGACTTATGAGAATTTCAAGTCAGAGGAGATACTAAGAGCAGTCCTTCCTGAAGGTCAAGAAGTCACCTCTGGGTTTAGCCGTGTTGGTCACATAGCTCATTTGAATCTTAGAGATCATCAGCTTCCATACAGACATTTGATTGGTAGGTAAAAGAACTCTTCTCAAAAAAGTAATTCATATATTTAACATATTGTTAAAAAGATACTTAACAATTATTCTACTGATAAGTTATTTACCTGTACAAATGATATTTTTGAGGGCTTTTCATTGCATTGTATTTTGACTTTAAATAGCCTTTGCCAATGCTGTAGCTGTGCACAGAAGGTGTAGTCTCTTCTCTTACAGTAACTGTAGTCTCACTTCACTGAGACTACAGGGAGTAGTGGATCAGGGTAAAGTACATGCCTTAGAAAGGTTTCGCATCTGCAACCCTGAATCATCAGAGGAAGGTTGTTCTAATACTTTAATTAATTTAACTGTAAACAGCAGTGTTTGTATTTCTTGTAGAGCATTAAAAGATTTTGGTCCCTTAACCAGAATATCTTTTGCCCTCTCTCAGGCCAAGTTATAATTGACAAGAACCCAGGCATCACCTGTGTAGTAAATAAAACCAGTATTATTGACAGCACATACAGAAATTTTCAAATGGAAGTGCTTGCTGGAGAGAGCAACCTGGTAACCAAGGTACAGTTGATTTTCTCCTCTTATTTTATATTTAATGTGCTAAAACCCAAAGACATCTACTGGACAGATGTGCTGAAGAGATGCTGTTAAAATGGATCCTTTACATGGTGCCCTTCCTGTCACCTGTTTTAGAGTGTAAGAGTTGGCAGTTACTTCTGTATTCATTTGTCCTGGTCTGCCAAGGGTAAACTCACAACCGTAAAGATCACGAAGATACGTATTTTTTGAAGTTCACAGCCTAGGTTTTAATGATCTAGAACAGCATGTCATGATATTTTACTGATACGTGGCAGTAGCAGGTTTCTTGCAGACATACTAATTACAAACTTTGTAGTAGGGGGTGTTGCTCACTCTAAAGCCAGCAAGTTTTGTGGATTTGATCTAAGAAATTGCTGTTTCTTCATTTCACCAAGCCTTGTGCAGCAGCTGGTATGGAATGTAAGAATGTGTTTCTAAATCTCAGTGGCTTTCTAACATAGGCAAGATTTTGCCTGTGCCTTTTCCCTTTCCAGTCAGCAGCAAGACAAACCTCGTTTCTCCTGTGTTTTGACATTTTTTCAGGTATAAAGAACTATGTAACTGCCATGCAGGGTTTCTTGGCTTTAGCTGTAAACTTGGCCACTGGTTTGACCAAAAAATGTTTTTCCTAACTGTTAGCAGTTCTGTGCTTTTAGAAGAGAAAATATTAGATTACTAAATGAAAAAGCTGAATAGCTTGGTAGAACATCCTGTACATGCACAGAGAAGGCATTTGAATTGTCAGGGCAGAAGTGACAGTCAAACACTATGCAGAGGGTAGTAGCTCATTGAGCACACATCTAGCACACCACTGAGCTGCACACTGAGCAGTGCAGATGTTTCAGTATGTTTCTTGCTGGCAAAGCAAAAGAAGCAGTGATTTGGATACAAAGGTACTTCAATTCACAGTCACACTATTCAAGTGTGGTGGTGCAAAGTATTATCTTGCATCCCATTCTCATCTGAGTATGTTTTCTTTTTAGGTCTGTTCTTAAGTTAGTGCTCATCCCAAGGGTCTGGGTTTATATCAGTTTCTAGACACTGTCACCTTGAGAGATAAAATATGGCATTTTTTCAAACTGCAGGGTGTCTCCCAGGGACTTTGAATTTGGGTGACTGTTGCCATTTGTGTGCTGCATCATTCTCAGACGCTTATTTACTATGTGGACTCCACTGAGGAGAGTTCAAGGCATATTCCCAGGGTCTGCTTTCAATAAAGGAGCTGTCAGCCAGCCACAAAAAAAGCCTCAGATTATTATCTTTTTAAATGGTAAATTTAAGTTGCTGGTTTATTTCCACCTGGTGATTGAGACATCCATAAGCCAGCCATCTGGATTGCCAGTTGGAACATTCCTTATGGCTATTTCTGTTGAGTAGATCTGTTTATACAAGACTCATGTTTACTATTAGTGGGACAAATGTCAATTACATTTTGATAAAGCACCTTAATTTTTAGCTGTCCTAACTACTGATAGTACTTAAATATGCCTGCGATTTGAACACAGAGATTTAAGCAAATGTTTTGGACTTTCAGGTCAAAGAAAATAATATTGCATATGAATTGGACTTCTCTAAAGTCTACTGGAACCCACGTCTCTCCACCGAACACAGCCGTATTGTTGAGCTTTTGAAGCCCGGTGATGTCCTTTTCGATGTCTTTGCTGGGATTGGACCTTTTGCTATTCCAGCAGCAAAGAAAAAGTGCCACGTATTTGCAAATGATCTCAATCCTGAATCCTACAACTGGCTCCTGCACAACTGCAAACTGAACAAAGTAGATGACAAAATTAAAGCATTCAATATGGATGGCCGGGACTTTCTGCTGGGGCCAGTAAGAGAAGAACTAAGTAAAGAGCTCCCACTTCAGAAAGAACAAAAAATCTCTTTTCACATAGTTATGAATTTGCCAGCTTTGGCTATTGAATTTCTGGATGCTTTCCGGCATCTCTTGGTCAGGGAACCATGTGGCACTGCT